CTTGTGAAATCCACATTGATACCATTGGGCTGCAGGGTTCCCAAGCGGAATATGAGTTGCTGTTCCTGCAACCTTCGGGTGGCATCGTTGTGGCACTGCAGGAGGCCCAGGATGGACATGTCGTCTGAGGAATGGGAGGGGGAGTTGAAATGGTTCGCGACTGGGAGGTGCAGTTGTTTATTGCGAACCGAGCATAGGTGTTCTGCAAAGCGGTCCCCGAGCCTCCGCTTGGTTTCCCCGATGTAGAGGAAGCCACACCGGGTACAGCGGATGCAGTATACCACATTGGCAGATGTGCAGGTGAACATCTGCTTGATGTGGAAAGTCTTCTTGGGGCCTGGGATGGGGGTGAGGGAGGAGGTATGGGGGCAGGTGTAGCACTTCCTGCGGTTGCAGGGAAAAGTGCCGGGTGTGGTGGAGCTGGAGGGGAGTGTGGAGCGGACAAGGGAGTCACGGAGAGAGTTGTCCCTCCGGAAAGCAGATAAGGGTGGGGAGGGAAAGATGTCTTTGGTGGTGGGGATTGCAGATGGCGGAAGTGTCGGAGGATGATGCGTTGGATCCGGAGGTTGGTGGGGTGGTACGTGAGGACGAGGGGGATTCTTTTTTGGTTCTTATTGCGTGGACGGGGTGTGAGGGATGAGTTGCGGGAGATGTGGGAGACACGGTTGAGGGCGTTCTCGACCACTGAGGGGGGGAAGTTACGGCCCTGGGCCTCCTGCAGTGCCACAACAATGCCACCCGAAGGTTGCAGGAACAGCCACTCATATTCCGCTTGGGAACCCTGCAGCCCAATGGTATCAATGTGGATTTCACAAGCTTCAAAATCTCCCCTCCCCCTACCGCATCCCAAAACCAGTCCAGCTCGTCCCCGCCTCCCTAACCTGTTCTTCCTCTCACCTATCACCTCCCCCCACCTCAAGCCCCACCCCCATCTCCTACCGACTAACCTCATCCCGCCCCCTTGACCTGTCCGTCCTCCCTGGACTGACCTATCCCCTCCCTAACTCCCCACCTACACTCACCTTTACTGGCTCTATCCCCGCCTCTTCGACCTGTTTGTTTCCTCTCCTCCTATCCTCTCCTCTATCCATCTTCTATCCGCCTCCCACTCTCTCCCTATTTATTTCAGAACCCCCTTCCCCTCCCCCTTTTCTGATGAAGGGTCTAGGCCCGAAACGTCAGCCTTTCTGCTCCTATGATGCTGCTTGGCCTGCTGTGTTCATCCAGCCCTGCACCATGTTGTCTGGAATGATTTAAACATGGAATCCTGGGAGAGATGGGAACAGGTTTGGGAGGCAAGATTTATTTTGGATTAAAATCCTTAAGTATTGGATAAATTAACAATATTAGATAGTCAATCCATGTACTGGTGGTTGGCAATGCATTCAGGGCTTATATAACTAGACTGGTCATTTGCCTTTCCTAGTGACAGTGGTGTTTTGATCTGGAACGCTGAGATGCTAAAAGCTGTTAGGTGCAAAAAATCTTGATAAAAACGATACCAGATACACCACCGTACTACACCTCGTTAACCAGGTTAGTATCAATTAGTTGTGTACGCTGTTTCTTTGGAATGGTTTCAGAATGCAGAACACATAGAGATGCAAATATTCAGCTATTTTTGAGACTGTGATTTCAAGTTACTGGAATGTAGCCTCAGATAACAATGAGAGGTTTCACAATATGCAGTTCATTGTTAATTTTGAAGGAAAGAAAATTTGGAAGAACCAAGCAACAGTATTTTGAGAAAATATAGAATACCACTAATGCTGGACATCTGGAATAAAAGCAGAATATGTTTTGCAAATAAAAATCTCAGCAGGTCAAGCAGCATCTGTGTAGAAAGAGAAAGAGTTAATGTTTCGGATTATTTACTCCCTGCTATAGGAAAGACGTTATTAAACTTTAACGGGTTCAGAATAGCTAAGGTGGTTTTTTCCCAGGGTTCTTCCCAGGGTATGGGAGTCCAACACTAGAGAGCATAGGTTCAAGGTGAGACGGGAAAGATTTTCACACAGAGGGTGGTGCGTGTATGGAATGAACTGTCAGAGGAAGCAGTGGAGGCTGGTACAATTACAATATTTAAAAGGCATCTGGATGGGTACGTGAAAGGGAAGGGTTTAGAGGGATACAGCCAAATGCTGACAAATGCGACTGGATTAATTGAGGATATCTGGTCAGCATTGACGGGTTGGACCAAATGGCCTGTTTCTGTGCTATACAACTCTATGACTTTTCATTAACAGACTTTTGACATTCTGTCTGAAGATTGCCAAATCATCTAGTGATCATGAAAACTGCAAGGTAATACAAAACTTGCTTTTAGTCTTTAATGGTCTGGTAAGCCTAGGGCATTAACCTCTTATTGACACTGAACTGAGTAAATTAAAGTCAATGTTAAGTGATCTGAATATATTCTGAAATAAATGCTAAAAGCAAAAAATGCACTTGGGGAGGGGAACAAAACACAGAATTCTGGATTTTAAAAGTTTAGATTATGATGTGTTGTAGGAAATAAACAATGAGAGTTGGAGCACTGAAATGATTAGGATAACTAATGAAGATTTTGTAAGCTTATGATAAAAATTCTGGTTAGATCAAAATAAGTTTAGGAGCAATATGGCCACTGTGGTTGAGGAGGAATGTCAGGGATAATTTTGCAATCTGGCACTCCCAATGGAAGCTTGTCTCACAAAATCACCGTCTGTCAATTTCCAAGATGTGTCTCTACAAGTATTTCTTCCCACTGGGAGCACTGCCTCTTGGAATCATTCAAATGAAAAATCAACAGTAGGGATTTGAAGCAGAGTTTTAAAATACATACGTGTTTTAAAATATGTATTCACCAGAGTGAATTAAAAGTGTAAGCAAAAATAGCGAAATCAAAAGAAAGAAACAAAATGCTAGAACATCTATTGTAACCAAAATTTGGAGGGACACTTTGAAACACTTAAATCTGGGTTAACAAAACTTAAAACCACACTACTTAAAGTGAGGCTCAGATTAAAAGTATGTAAAAAATGCACACAGCTAGTGTGAAGTCTGTTTTTTTGCCCCATAATCAATTTGTTCAGAGATGTTGGTACACACTTCTGGAGTAAGTGGGATTTGAACCCAGGTCTCCTGGTTAAGAGGTAGAAACCACTGCACCAGAAGAACGATAGTGTCAAGCCTGTTACATTATGGTCAGCGGCAAAGCAGAGTCACCTCGACTCTGCACCCATAAATGTGGTTCAGCTGCGATCTCAGAAGAGCATCTATTACTGCCCCACTGTGCAGTTGGCAATCTCTGCCTTTTCCGAGTATGAGATTGCTCTGTGTTGGAAGCTGGGAGCAGTTTTACATTGTAAGCTTACATCCTTTGGGACCTGCATTGGTATCATCCAAGCGCATTTCACGTATAATGCTGGTGTGATTTCACATTTGTTGCATGTACCTTCTCGTGTTCAGTGGTGTCAGTTATTCCCGTAGGTATTTTAAGTAGCTAACTTTCATGGGAGTTTTCTCATACTTCTCCATGCCTATATCTTCCATCTAAAAGCAACTCAAATCCACTTCGTTTTTAACCTCTTAAAAAAAACTTAGGAGCTCAATAGCATTCTAAGTAAAAATAATGAAAAAAACATTCAAACATGACAGGAATTTACAGTCAGCAGATGGCAGAGATTCGTATATTCAATTAACCTGAGTTCCAAAGATAAAGGCTAGTGTTGAATTGTTGCATCATCCAAGATATCACATTTGAAGCTTAAGTAGCTGGAGATGTACTGATCTAATGACACTGCTGGCAATTTTTTGCCTTTTCTCCAATCCGTGTTCACAAATTAAATAAAGTTGATGGTTTACAGTAATGTTATGCCAGCAATGTACAGTTGATGATTCAGTATCTTCAAGTGGGATTATAGAGTTTTACGGAGGGGAAATGGCCGAACTCCTCTGATAATAAAACCAAAACACAAAAACTAATCTTCTATGACGGGATTAGAGGTTCCCTTCTAATAATTACCCCTGAAACACCCAGACAGGCTCGCCTTTCCCCCCAAAATCTGTTAAAAGAGTGGTTAAGAGAAAGAAAATCTCTGATCCACTTTATGAATAATAAGAAACAATTTATTTATTTAACCCTAACAATGAACAAATTAACAGAATTACTAACAAACCGAACAGTTCCCCCTTAGACTACTAACGACTCCCTCACTGAACTAAATTCTACTGGAATGCTGTTCAAATAAACACAAGTCCCACTTATATAAACACAATTAATAAGACGACAATAAATTAAAATGTAATCTCTCCAAGTTTGCACAGACTGTGTCTTTTGGAACCCTTTGCCTTCTGTTAATCTCACGCCACAAATGCTTTTCTTCCACTGATTCTACTGTCAGGAATGTTTTCTCTGTGAAGACTTTTAGGTAAAATTGCTGTGGTACCTTTTATCGATAAGATGGTGCTTTCTTAGAAAGCTTAGTGATTTCTTGTGAGAGCTCAGAGATTATTTCTCAGATGGCGGACTTGCTCTCCCCTCAGATAACAGTTGGCTCTCTCCCCATTTTCCAAATGCCCTCATCTTTATACTCATAATGACATAATAGAATTTCTTGTGTAGGATTAGTTCGATGTTGTCAACACCATCAGATTTTAAATTCAATTGGCTTTGAATTGCTCAGTGCTTGGTTTAAATTTATTGGCCAAATTCAAACTTGTTGTCTTGGTGAAAATGCTGCTTGGCTGTTTGATATAAAATGTTTCAATTCAGGCACTCTGTGCACATTACTTTTAAACTTTCAAACACAGACAAAGCACAATCTCTTCAAGGAACCAGGCACTCTTTTTTCCCCACTATTGGCTTTTTTTAATCAACCATTCTAACTTCCTGCCTTCCAATTCAGGAATACTGTACCCAACTTTGTAACAAGAGAAAGAAATCCTGAAACCTGCTGCCCCATTGAACAAAAATATGGCTGATTACACAAGTTCAGCATTTTCATTGATACATTATTCATGATTCTTTTCTCTTTTAATTGTAGAGTAAACATTTGATATTTTTTCTCCAATTCCACAGATTTAACTTCACCTGAAAAATGAAACAATACTCTAGAAATTTGTGAGTACCCTCTTGACACAGGGAATGTATCCTATGCATGAATGGCTGAATTCAAGGAGCCATAGATATTAGACCTTGAATACTTTTCCAAAATCCACATATCCTGTGGGAGGAAGGCCTGAAGGAGTACGCTGAGTCAACAGGCTTTGGGATCAGGGTGTGGAATTCGAGAATAATGGAAGGAGGTGGGGTGATGAGGGGCGGATGAGGACCAGGGAGAAGAAACTTGCATGGGAGTGCAAGAACCTGAATTGGTCCAAACAAAGTTCTGGGGTTGAGGAGGTGAGGGAGGTTTGGGAGGAATCAAAAATCAGAAGTATGAGAGGTTGAAGAGGGAAGATTGATCAGGGTGATGGGGGTTGTGGATTTCGGGGAGGCAAGGAATATTGCTCAATGGATTAAAGGAGAACGTGTGAGTGAGAGTCTGGAGTTTGGCTCAATGGATTAAAGGAGAACGTGTGAGTGAGAGTCTGGAGTTTGGAGTTCTGAGATGGATGAAAGAGATTAGAGATTTTGGGCCCTTGGGAATAGCAGTGTTTGGAAAGATATTTTACAGGTTATTGGCATAATTAAACTTTTTTTTAAAAAGGTGTGTTGTGTCAATTAATTATTTTAATTTCATCAGAGGCAAATCATAACTTTTTATAATTTTAGTTGTATCTTTCTGTTCACATTAAAATTAATAAAGTATTTATAATAGCAATAATATGGACTTCGTGTTGAAACACAGAAGATTATTGTTGCTCTCACCTGTTACCTTAAATCCAGGTAGTGTTGGAATATTTTGTTCTAAATCTTTAGTGAAAAGGACTCCTTCATATAGAAAACATTCTTCGCTCTTTCCCTCAGTAATAGGGCAAGTACTTTTATTTGAAAGCTCGAAAATGCCTGATATATTGCTTCTCTTTGTAGAACCATATTTTGGCAGCGGTGGATGACTGACAGGCTGCTATGTGCTGATATATATTGGCTCTGCAAGAATCAACAGTTTGGGCAAGTGAGATCGCTTTACGAAATGACTCCAACCCGGAAGGAAGCCATTCGACCCATTGCTTCTATGAATTTTCTCCACAAGAACAACTTAGTGGATCCCACTTTCCCTATCCGATTTCCTTCCAAAAGCCACAACTTGCATCTGCTATCCAAACTTTTATTGCCTCGGGAGTTCAAAATGATCAAAGGTGGCGTGCCTTCGTTCAGTACCCTGTCAAATTTATACAACTTGCTCTTTATACTCTTTACTCAGAGAGTAGTAAGGGCGTGGAATGCCCTGCCTGCAACAGTAGTAGACTCGCCAACTTTAAGGGCATTTAAATGGTCATTGGATAAACATTTGGATGATAACGGAATAGTGTAGGTTAGATGGGCTTCAGATTGGTTTCACAGGTTGGTGCAACATCGAGGGCCGAAGGGCCTGTAGTGCGCTGTAATGTTCTATGCTGATCACCCGAGCCATGCAGGAAAGTCCATGTGCTTATGGTCAGTTTGGTGCATTGTGGTCTATGAATTACAATTAGGTTTGTTGTTACATGTACTCAAGTACAGGGATATATGAGTGCAGCAAGAAGTGTACAGTGTCACCATTTCCAGCGCCATCTTGGGTACAGTGATACCTTGGTAGAAAATCTTAGGTAGAAATTAGAAAAGTAAAGAAATAAAGGTAAAATTTCAGCATTACAACCTATACGGTGATCAGTGGCAAAAAAGTGCTAAAACTTTGATGTTGTTTAAGGTTGAGGTGCTATTGTTTGATGCATTGTAGGAACTACAGGCCAATTCAGCCCCTCCAGGTTTTGTTTTACACCATTAGGTTGGTACAACTGAGATTATTACATCCTGGTCTTGAAGGAAAGTCCCGTTATTCACTGAATGTTTTATCTTGGCAGGTTTGAAGTAGGTACCCCTGGCTCCAACAGCAGGTCCATCAATCACCGACCAAATGAAGTCGCTGGCTGCGGCCGTATTGGAAGTCTCTAACCAGCGACCCCCAGTGGACAGAGCCCACCCTGCGCCGCGTAGGGCTTATTCACCCATTGGCTGACGGTGAGCCAGATGGGGAGGAGGGGGGCGTAAAAAGCGGATGTCCCCTCTTGGCGGGCCAAGCCAATTGGTTAAAGTGGGAAGGGGTCGGGCTACATACGTGCGAAGCCGTCATCGCTGGGGGGGCGAAGGCGGTGGGAGAGCTGATAGGCTGAAAGGGTGAGTGGGCTGGGTACCTTTTTTTGATAGGTCGAGGGCCGGGAGGGGTGGAGCGTGAGGACACGGGGTGATAGGCCGAGAGGGAAAGTGGGGGCGGAGAGGACGGTGTACGTCACGAACGCAGCCGAGGTCGGCGGTTAACGGGCGGCTCGAGCATGGAATTCAAATTTAAATTCAATCTGGGGCCGGCAGAGCAGCCCGGGACTGGAGAGGCTGAGCAGCTTCCAGCGGACCCGGAGAGGAGGTCTGAGACCGTGAAGGAACACCGGGTCGTGTGGGAAGAGCTGGAGAGGATCCTGGAAGATGGGATAGTGGAGGAAGTGGAGGTGGGAGGGCCCGACCCGCTGTGCCTCAGGCACCTGAACGTCTGGGCAGTGGAGAGGGCGCTGAGCCTGCAGGATCGGGCTGAAGCCGGGGTCTCCGGGGCCATCGCCCGCCGCTCTGACCTCGTGTCCGGTGTCTACGAGGGAGGCCTGAAGATCTGGCAGTGCACCTTCGACCTGATCGAGCACCTGTCCGGTGTCGACTTAGAGGGGCGGCGGGTCCTGGACCTGGGCTGCGGGGCGGGTCTCCTGGGCATCGTCGCCCTCAGGAGGCGGGCGTCCGAGGTCCATTTCCAGGACTACAACCCCTCTGTGATCGATGGGGTCACCCTGCCCAACGTGGCTCTGAACGAAGAGGAGAAGGAGGAGGAAGAGCCGCCCGTGAAACGGCGGAAAGCCCAGGCCTCGCCGCCCCCGGAGCCCAAGCCGCTTTCCCGCTGCCGCTTCTTCTCGGGAGACTGGTCCCGATTTGGCAACGTCCACGGCGGCTCCTTCAAGTACGACGTTATCCTGAGCTCGGAGACTCTGTATAACCCAGATAGCTACGGAGACCTGCACGACGCCTTGTCCAGCCTGCTCGCCCAGGATGGGGTGGTCTACCTGGCCACCAAGTCCCATTACTTTGGGGTGGGCGGCGGCATCCACCTGTTCGAGAGCTTTGTCAAACAGAAGGAGGTCTTTTACTTTCAGACAGTAAAAGTGATCGATGATGGGCTCCAGAGATGCATCGCCACCATGTCTTTCCTTCAGCAAGGCCCAATGCTCCTGAATCGTTCACTGCAAAATTGAAGTTCTCTTTACGCGACCGCTAAAACCTGACACTCGACTTTCAGGAAATAAATATTGAGCCTTTCTTTCTTTTTTTTTTAAAAAATGTCTAGGTGGAATCCATAGGGAAATCGATGAAAGCCTACTCTTTGGTGTAAAGTGTTGAATCATTGCGAAGTGACTGAAGTATACAACACTGGAAGAGTTCACATAGCCTTGTGTAACAGGATGTAGCTATTAATATGAATTAGTAAGAATAACTTATGATTTCAAGGGCAAATAACTGTAACAAAGTACCATAGTATACAGGGCTATTAGCTAAGAGCTGGAAAATGGACTAGAATAGAGAGCTGCACAATGATTGACGTAGACAGAATAAGCCAATTTTTTTTTTTATCCTGCACTGTAAAAACTGACTTTTTTTTTAAAATATCCGTTCCAAGTACTTTTGAAGCATTTAGCTGCCGTTGTTCGCAGTTGGGAGTCAAATGTTTTGATACTCTTAAGAGTTCAAACTTAACATGAGCACCATTTTTTAAAAAAATTCACTCCAAAATGAGGGCATTTGTTGCCCATCCCAGAGGGCAGATAAGAGTCAACTATTTTGCAGTGAGTCTGGACTTGCATGTAGTCCAGACCAGGTAAGGACATTCAGTGAACCAGACGGGTTTTTTCAACAATGAATTCATGGTCATAAGACTCTTAATTCCAGATTTTTCATATTGAATTCAAATTCTACTGTCTGCCATGGTGGGATTTGAACCTGGGTCTCTGGATTAACAGTCCAGCAATAATATTGCTAGAACATTGCCTCCCCTAAGCAAGGAAAGAAACTTGGGCCTATTTGGAATTGTGTTGAATTATTGAAATTAGACAGGATGGTAACTTCCATGCATTACTATTCTGCTGATAATTGTGCCAAAATGCAAATGACTTGTTTCATGGGTCCTACCAGCTAAGGATTAAATCCTTAATTTTTTTTAAACTATATATGCCTTCTGTTTGTGTGCAATAAAACAGATCTTCTAATTTTCAAGATCTAGCTTCAAAATTAACTTTTTAATCACTTTTTTTAAGTAGTTCAAATGACTTCGCCATATCTTTACTGCTAGAACTTGGAACAGAAAATAGCTGCATTATGATTGTAACTGATCTGTGAAGCTTATCAAGGGATACATTCAAGGCATTAAACAAATCTTCCATATTAGATAGGGGTTCACCTGCACATCAGTCAACCTGGTCCACTGTATCTGTTGCTCCTGATGTCGCCTCCTCTATATCGATGAGACCAAGTGTAGACTCTGAGACTGTGTTTTGTAGAGCATCTGCACTCTGTACGTGACAAATGACAACACCACCTTCTGGTTGCCAACCATTTTAACTACCCCCCCCACCCCCTTCCCTGGGTGATATGTCCATCCTGGGCTTTCTCCAGTGTCACAATGATACCTCCTGTGAACTGGAGGAGCAGTACCTCATATTCTGCCTTGAGAGCCTACAGCCTGATGGCCTAAATATGGAGCTCACCAGTTTTAAAATCTCCCCATCTCTGGCTTCATTCCCATGTCCAAACGTCCCCCTCATCCCCGCCTCCTTGACCTGACGCAACCTGTCCATCTTCTCTCCCACATATCTGCCCCTCCATCCCACTGACCAATCCCCACCACTCCTTACCTGCATTCATTTATCACCATCCCACCTACCTTCCCCAGCCCCACCCCTCCTCTCTATTTATTTCCCAACTCCTTTCCCTTCCCCATTTGAAGAAGGGTCCTGACCCGAAATGTCAACTTTGCTGCTCCTCTAATGCTGCCTGGCCTGCTGTGTTCTTCCAGGTTCATGCTGTTATCTCTGACTCCAGGATCTACAGTTCTTGCTGTCTTTCAAGGAACTAGGGTGTTTTTGTGCCTTGGAACATGGTATGATAGGTTGTGAAGATGTTGATTTATTAAAGCAATATTTCCAGTTACACTTGTATGAAACACAAATTTATTTGAAATACAGTGACTTTTGCCAGCAAATGTAACTTAGGTCAAAAGAATGTCTCTAGTTAATGGCATAGTCATACAGCACAGAAACAGACCCTTTGCTCTAACCAGTCCATGCTGGTAAACGAGTCCTGCCTGCACTTGGCCTATATCCCTCCAAACATTTCTTAGTCATGTACTTACCTAAATGTCTTAAACATTGTAACTGTACCTGCAGCCACCACTTCCTCCGACAGTTCGTTCCACATACGAGCTACTCTTTAAATTAAAAAATGCCCTTCATGTCTTTTTTTAATAATAAATCTTTCTCCTCTCACCTTAAATATGCCCCCTAGTCTTGAAATTTCCCACCCTAGGGAAAAACGACACTTGCAATTCAGAATCTTTATACCCACTTATGATTTTATGAACCTTAATAAGGTCACCCTTCAAACATCTATGCTCCAGTGGAAAAGAGTCCTAGCCTCTCCTTATAATTAAAACCTGCTGTTCCCAGCAAGCTTGGTAATTTATTTTTGGGTTGCCTACGCGCTGCTGCCTGATGTCCTCCTGTGGGAGACCAGGGCCCCGGGTATACCCTTGTGTGGTAGCATGGGAAGATGAGCCAGGACCTGTCATTTGATGTCCAGCATTGGAGGAGGTGTGGGACTCGTGCAGCGTGACTGTCTCCAGCTTGGAGGTGGTGGACACGTGAGCAATGGTGGTGGTGGAGGAGGAGCACATTGCCAGGATCCTGGGGATGGTTTCAGATGATGGCAACTGGAAGAGCAGTGAGGGAAAGTTGAACTTATGAAGTTGTTTCTGTTTTAATAATATAAACTTTAATTTATTCAATATTTTACCATTTATACAATTTATTTAGTAATTTATTGTTTAAGATATTGGAAAATGGTGATATAGTCCACTTTTCACTGTACCTAGGTACGAGTAACAATGTATATAAAATAAATCTACATTCTGGTAAATTTCTTCTGAAACCCCTTCAGTTTAATCTTAAAACAGTGACCAGAACTGGATGCAGTACCCCTGAAGAGGCCTCAACATAACATCCCAAATCCTAAACTCAAAGGTCTGAGCAATGAATGCAAGTGTGCTAAATGCCTTCTTCACCGCCCTATTTAAATGTGACGCAAACTTCAAAGAATTGTGTACCTGAGCCCCTAGGTCTCTGTTCTACAACACTACCCAAGACCCTACTTTTAATTGTATAAGTCCAGCACTTGTTTGTTTTGCCTAACTAGTCATATGGCTCCAGCTAAATGTTCATTTTAATGGAAACATCTAAATTTGAAGTGTAGAACTCCATGGTAATGAAGTTTTGTGGTCTTCAAGCTCTTCGTTTCTGGTGTCCTGGTATGTATTATGAGAAAAGGCTAACCAGGTTGGAACTCTACTCGATGACCTTGAGAAGAATAAGATGTAATCTCATTGAAACGTATAATTCTTAAGGGGCTTGAAGGGTAAATGCTGAGAGGATGTTTCCACTCATTGGAGAGTCTAGGACCAAAAGGCATGGTCTCAATATATGGGTGCCAATTCAAGACTGAGGAGTTGAGAGTCTTTGGAAGTCCTTGACAAACAGAGCTGTGGCTGCAGTTTTGTGTATATTTAAGGCTGTGATGCATAGATTCTTAATCAGTAGGGGAATGGGGGGTTATGGGGAAAGGGCAGGAAAGTGGATGAGGTGGATCAGCCATAATGCTACTAAATGGCAGAACAGGCTCGAGGGGCCCATTATAACTAATCTTGAGATGACAGTGTTGAACTTCTTTTGTCTTTTGTACAATTAACTGCGTGGTAGGTCATTTCAGAGGACAGTTGCATGACAGAGGACCCATTGCTGCGGGTTTGGAATCACATTGGCCAGACTGGGTAAAGAGAGAGCCTGACATACTGACCTTGGCCTGACTGCACAAGAGACCACCCATGGAGTATTGTGCTGTTTAGTCTCTTGAAGGAAAGATGGGCCTGCATTAGAGGGAATGTAACAAAGATCTACTGGATTGATTCTTGGATGAAGGGATTGTTTGAATAGACTGTGTAGACTAGGCCCATATTCCCTGGAGTTCAAAAGAATTAAAAGTGATCCAATTGAAAAATGTAAAGCTTTTATTTTAGAAAGAATGGTTTGACCATTATCCTTGGTTGGGAAATATAGAACATGGGGTCATTGTCTCAGAATATGAAATCAGCCATTTAAGACTGGGATGAGAAATTTATTCACTCAAAGGATTACAAATCTTTGGAATTCAAGACAGGTGCATTGATTTTTATGCACTGAAAGAATTAAAGGATATGAGGATGAGGCAGGAAAGTGGTGTTGAGATACAAGGTCACTTGTGTTGGAGTGGCAGAGCAGGTTCAAAGGACCATTGCTATATTTTATTTTAATAGAATGTAGCAGATTTTTAATTCCCTGCGAACAACAAGATAATAATTGCTTTCCCACTATTACCCAGATCTTAAGACAAAGTCAGAATTTCATATTGTAGCAAGGAAATTTACTTGAATTACATAGGAACATACCAGCATGCTCCAGAATCTTCTAATTGAAGCTTCAAATGGTTTAGAATTTTTACCTGCTTTACATGGGAGGGTTCATGCTCTCCCTGAGACCGCACTGGATTTAGGCAAGTCCAAAATACTTAAGACCAAAGTTTAGAGATTCCAAGAACGTACAGGAATACTGCTGGAGTTTAACCCACGGAATCAGCTCCACTGATCAATATAAAGGTTTCCCTGTCGCCTGTCTGTTCCAGATCAATAGTCCCCCTACAACCCAGTGGTCTCAATGTGGACTTTACTAGCTTCAAAATCTCCCCACCCCCCCATCTCATCCCATGACCAACCCTCCTTCTCATCCCTGCCTCCTTGACCTGTCTGTCTTCTCTCCCACCTATCCGCTCCTCCCATCTCACTGACCAACCCCCACCATTGCCTACCTGCACTCTCTATCACCACCCCACCTACCTTCCCCAGCCCCACCCCTCCTCTCTCTATTTAGTTCAGAGCTCCCTGTCCCTCCCCAATTTCTGAAGAAGGGTCCTGACCCGAAACGTCAGCTTTCCTGTTCCTCTGATGCTGCCTGGCCTGTTGTGTTCCTCCAGCTCCACCCTATGTTATCTCTAACTCCAGCATCGCCAGTTCTTACTATCTCTGTATCTAAATCAAACTGCTGTCATCTATTCACTGTTCTGTGAACATGTCTCAAAGCCACCTCCCTCAGTGTGCTGTATTTTGTCATCTAAGGGTCATGTTGGCTGCAGTAGGATCACCCAGATAGGAAATGTGCTGTCAATGGTAAGCAATTGAGAATTCAATGTCAGGTCATAGAGGTCTACAACACAAAAAAAGGTGCTTTAGCCCATCAAGTCCACGCTAGCCTAAAACAAGCACCTAACTATTTTAATCTCATTTTCCAGCACTTAGCCCATAGCTTTGTATGCTTTGGCATTGCAAGTGCACTTCTAACTAGTAAAATATTGAGAGTTTCTGCTACCACCATCCTCTTAGGCTGTTAGTTCCAGATTCTCACCAGTCTCTGGGTGAAAATATTTTTCCTTGTATTCTGTCTAAACTGCCTGCCCCTTACCTTAAATCTGTGCCCCTGTCATTGATCATTCCATCAAATGAAAAGGTTTCTTCCTGTCTACCTTCATAATTTTATACATCTTAATATTGACCCTGTTCAGTCTGCTATACTCCAAGTAAAACAATCTCAGTCGATTTCAATCTCTCTACGTAACTTAAACTCTCCAACCCAGGCAACATCCTAGTAAATCTCCTGTGCATCCTATCTAGTGCAGTTACGAATGTGTATTCCAGAACTGCACACGATACTTTGGGCATTGTCTCTCTGCGCTTAGTCTCTCTGTCTTGGCTAATAAAAGCAAGTACCCCATATGCCACCTTGACCATTTTATCTACCTATCTTGCTACTTTAAGAGACCAGTGGACATCCATACCAAAGTCTCTCTGATCCTTAGGGCTCCTCAGTGTGCTAACATTCATCGTGTATTCCTTTGCCTAATTTGTTCTGCCTGAGTGTACCACCTTACACTTA